GGGAGAGCCACGGACACGCTGCCCGTGGGCATCCCCCACGTCATCGCGCGGCGGCACAAGCAGCAGGGACAGGCGGCCTACAGGGACAGCTGGCTGCTGCGGGACGGGCTGAACGTAAGCGGGGCCTGGCGTCCCAGGGGCTGCAGGGAGCTTTGCACTACGTATTCTGCTTTTTGGGTTCTGTGATGCGTGTCTTCCCCTCCTCACGCGTTACATTTTTCCATAAAGGAATGTCTCAAGACAAGCTATTTTCCCCTTTAATGTGCTGTAGATGCCACCTTACTGACGTCAGTAGGTGAGCATCAGTCCTAAGTTGGGGCTTTGTTTTGTTCACAGTGAACTAAACCTAGTAAATTGGCTAGTTGAGGGTTTGTACACGTGGATTTTTCTGTGCTGTGTCCTGAGCTCATCACTCTGAAGTCCTATAGCCATTACAATCAGTGAACGTAGTCGAGTTGACTTAGACAAATATGTTAGGAACTCTGATGTTACGAAGTTTCTTTAAAAATAAGTGTATATTCATTTTACAAACCTGTGCTTTCTGTAGTCTATCAACTAGTTATTTCATTGTTTAATAATAGTTTCAGTATTACCAGTATGCAGCAAGTATTTATGTTGGGTATTTGTGGGTTTTGTTTAGAAACCTGAAAGCACTGAGCAGAGACAAAATGGCCTTAAAATGGTGGATCAAGCAATATGGTCCAAAAAGATGTCAAATGGTGCAAGGCGTATACCAGTGTCACCTGATCAGGTAACCCATTGTTAAGATTTTTATTAAATTGTTTGTTCATATAGCCATTTGATGTGATGTTGTTTTGGTGGACAAGAGTAGGTATATTTATACAGCAAAGATAGATAGTGCTGATGTGTGTTCCATCTCTGAAGATCTGAGAAAACAAAGATTTAAAATGGGATCTCTGTGTGTGGCTTTTTTTCATGCATAAAAAGTGACTGGTAAAATATTTCTTAGCAGCATTTGTTTTGATTGAATTCCAGGCCAGGTCATACAACAGACAGATGCGGCCAGCTATTTTAGATCACAGCTCTGGAGCCAAGTGGACAAACACATCAAATCATCCTGAATTTTTGGTAGGAGAAGAGGTAAGGTTCATTTCCTCACTGAATTGAGGCTCAGCATTTTGTTTTAATACAGTTGTGTTATCATTGGCAGTTTGCTATCTGTTGATATGTATTGAAAGGCATATAAATGTGGTCAAGTAGTACATGAAAAGCTTTACTATAGACTAATTGAATATTTATCATCATTCAGAAAGACCAGTTTCCCTCATTTGCCTAGCAAATAACCTGGATCCTTTGCTGCTATAACTCGGTGTTTCTGCCGGGACCACATGAGAACTTTTTTTTTTTTCAATTCAGAGAAAAAGCAAGAAAATTATAAAAGGAGCAGTATGTGGAATCACTGCTAAGTAGTTAGGCATTTATGAGCTTCAAAGAGTCTTTGAATTATTTTAGTTACTAATTTGGGATAATGGAAAAATAGACTTATGTCCAGGAATATGGACATTAAAACAGTTTAAATCATGTATTTAATGTCTTTTTATTTTAATGTTTTATAATACAACCCTGTTAAAAATAAATCCACTTAGTTAGTTCATATCGGTCTGAGTGCTGCTGTATGTCTGTTGTATCTGCTTCTGAAATATTTTTCTAGTATATGTACCTAATGTGTTGGGGAAAGCAATCCATAGGACACTGTCTCCTATTTTCAGGCACTGTATGTTAATCCACTAGATTCTTATAATATACATTGGCCTATTAGAAGAGGGCAGCTGAATCTCCACACAGGACCTGGTGGCTCCCTCACGGCTGTATTAGCAGACCTTGAAGTCATATGGTCACATGCAATACAGAAGTACCTGGAAATACCACTGAAAGACTTAAAGGTGAGCTGTCATCACATTCATGTGAGCTTCTGCATCCACTCTGTATCCACTTCTGAAGATGTTACTATAAAAGAGAAGCAACCTCCTGCTACTGGTAGCTTTGTACGGGCAGTTTTCCTAGTAAATAAATTCTCTCTGCTAGTGAGTATAGTTCCAAAGACTTCATTTGGAATTCCATGCAGTCTGTAAGACAAAAATTGCAAACCTCTACCAAGGAGGTCTGGAAATCCTGCATTAGAAATTTCACAATCTCATTGTTTGGGTTTGTCGTCTTTTTTGTGATGACTGAAAACAAGACAATTGATGAATGGTTGCCTAATACTTGCATAAATTTCTTCTTGCAGAGCATCTGTTTTTCTTATAACTGATGTGCTTTTGAACATCCTAGGGGCTTATAAGCTCTTAACTTGGTACTTCACTCCATTTCTATAATTTTGCTTCTTTTAATAACTTGTATATTGTGCTTTCTACCTTAGTATCAGGCATCCAAGAATGTAAAGAGCTGGCTTTAATTCACTGTTCATATCTCCAGTACTACAGGTGCATTTTACTAATTCCAGACATCTACAATAAACAACATGTGAAAGAATTGGTAAATATGATACTAATGAAGATGGGCTTCTCAGGTAAAATCATACATAAGCAAGCACTTAGTGATAATAGCATAAAGATATTTTTTGTCTTTTAAGGCACATTTTTGCACATCAATCCCAATTTGGCTGGGACTAGCACTATTCATCTTTTTCTGTTCTCACAACTGTTATCTCTTCTAACGGGGCAAAATGTTTGGCTGGCATTGAAGTAAGTTTCTTGGTTTGCTCTTAGGTATTCCAATGGTGGGCTTCTCACTTCAGCTGAGATAAAAGTAGCAATAGTCTGATTTCTCAGGTGTTTCTAAAATGCACAGTGTTAACTCTACAGGGAATTAAGATTCTTAGCCTTTAAAAAAAAGCATATGATGTAATATGCTGCTACTGTCCTATCTACAGGTTTCAGAGTTGGCTTAAATGCAGCCACTAAATGTAGAAGAGCAATAAAATTTTAAAATTTTTCTCAGGACTTTAAGGGCTTACTCAATAAAAAGTCACCAAGTCCCTCCACCCCATCTCCGCTAAATATACAAACTTTCAGTGAAGAGTCAGACTATTAGTAGATTTTAAAATACATTAAGATATCCCTTAAATGTCAGCAACACGGCTCTGGGGCTTGGCATAAATCAGATACAATTTCTTCTCATATTGCTAGGAATTGTGGTACACCAGGAGTCTGTCTGTGCTACCTTTGGAAGTGGTTTAAGCAGTGCATGTATAGTAGATGTGGGAGATCAGAAGACAAGTGTTTGCTGTGTAGAAGATGGTGTTTCCCATCGCAACACCAGGTATTTTTTTATTTTTTAATATGCAGAATGATTATAGGTATTTACTTAGTTGCTTACCAAAGACTTGACTTTAAAAACAGGAAAGCTTTTGTATAAATACGGGGTTTTTTACTGTAAGCCTTGTAACAGAGTCATAATAGGAACCTTAAATAATTCTGATGGCTTTAAAAGAAGAAAATAGGCAGAACTGATACCATGCTCTGCAAACCATGTGGAAGTCATAGTCACAGCATGTCTAAAACATTCCTGGTGTTCCTCTGTGTGCTACTATAGAAGGCCAGTATTTCAGCAAATAATAAATCTTTGTCTCCTCTTTGCTTTAGGTTGTGCCTTGCATATGGAGGATCTGATGTATCAAGGTGTTTTTATTGGCTTATGCAACGGGCAGGATTCCCTTATAGAGACTGTCAGTTAACTAATAAGCTGGATTGCTTGCTTCTTCAGCATCTAAAAGAGACATTTTGTCATCTAGACCAGGTGAGAAGGGAGAATAGTGTATTCTCCAAGTAATTTCTTTTTCCTTTACAGTGTGCTAGTCTAGTAAACCTTTCTGTGCATCTACAGTTGCTTGTAAATTGAATAAAATGTAGTATTTCACTTAGTAGAATACTGGCAAAAGCTGGAGAAACTTTAGACTTGAAGTATTTGTAACTTGTTTTAGATTTCTTCCAGTCAAAAGGAATTCCAACTCTTAGAAAGTTAGTTCCTTTGTTCTTATTACTGAAATAAGCTGATAGTAACTGCATATTTGCTGGTTTTCAACTTCTGTCAAGATCTGCCAGCAGGTCTCCTTTCTGTACAAACTCCAATTTTAGAGACTTAGACATGTAGAAAGCTGAAGACTTAAAAAGAAATCAAGAATAGGTAATTGGAATTAATAGTCTGAAGAGTTTTTTTTACTTCTTGTTGTTTCCTGCAGTTTAAATAGATTATGCAGCTTGATACACAAATATATAAAACTGTTCTTACATCATTTTTGAACTCTAGGATATTTCTGGATTGCAAGACCATGAATTCCAAATTCGTCATCCAGATTCTCCAGCTTTATTATATCAGTTCCGATTAGGGGATGAAAAATTACAGGTGATTTTCTTTGTTTTTATTGTAAGAATTATATTCAGTATCCAGAATCAGGGCCTCAATTTGTATTGGCCCTGTGATTTATGGATTGTTCTTAACATATGCTTGTTGATAGTTTTAAAATCAATTACTATATGTATGAATGGGCATAATGACTCACTAGTTGATGCATAAGACTTTCTCACTAGCTTTAGCCAGAGTGGTTGTGGCTTCAAATATAATAAATGTTATATTTGTCTTTCAAATGCAAAGAATTAATGCTAATTTTGCCAGTTTTTCAACTCACCATTGAATTTTCTAATTTTGTAACAAACTGCATTTGAGTGCTTACTGATTATATGATGCAGAATCTGTAAAGAAACTTACATACATGTACAAGTGTATTTGTTTGGTTGGTTTTTAAACAATGCAAAGCTGAAGACACTTCAGCCTTTTACAAACCTATTTAGGAAAAAATGTATATTTAATTTTGAATTATGAGAAAAACAGAGCAAGGTTTTTCTTTTTTATAGTAAATACTGCCCCCCCCCCCCATTATAAATATGTATTAAAACCATGCCAAATCTCTCATTCTTCAGGCTCCAATGGCTCTGTTTTATCCAGCAACTTTTGGAATTGTTGGACAAAAAATGACAACTTTGCAACACAGGTCACAAGGTGACCCTGAGGATCCTCATGATGAACAATATCTGCTAGCCACACAAAGTAAGCAGGAGCAGGTGTGTGAATGCTCATTTTTCATTATGTATTATTTAATTAGGAAATAAAATCAGGACTCATTAGCTCATGTCAGAAACCAAAGTTCATTACCTAGGTCAGAAGCATTAAAGAATAAATTTAGAGTAAGGAATTATGGGTGTCTAGACAAGTCTTAATTAGAGCTGTGTATTTTCAGAGTCTAAGAGGGCTTCATATTATGGCATTGATAAATCTGATGGAGTTCAAGGTAAAATGCTCACTTTGAAAGTGGGGATTAAAATGAAAATTATATGAGGTAATTATGCAGTGCTTAACCTTTCTGTGCAAAGAGATGAAGGAAAATACAAGGGTGCTTAGTTGAGTCTTTGTATTGTTCTGTTACCTGCTGAAGGTCTTTTTACATTTTTCATAGTTCAGTGTGTTTTCTCATTTTTAAGTCTGCAAAAGCTACAGCTGATAGAAAATCTATGTCGAAGCCTGGTGCGTTTGAGGGAGACTTGAGAGGCCAAACCTCAGATATTTCAGAGAGGATGTACCCACAAGAAGTGGAACTGGGATCTTCCCAGAGTGATTGTATGATATCTGGAAATGATTCGGAGGAACCTTTAACTGCACACATGTCCAGGAAAACAGCAATTTCTCAGTTTGAAGGCAAAGCCTTGGGCCTTGACAAAGCCATTCTTCATAGTATCGACTGCTGTGGTAAGAATGACATTTGTACAGTTCATTAAAATACACACATCAGTATGGATTTACAGTAACTCCTATACTTTACCCAAGTAAGATGTATGTCCTGAAGTTTAATCATCTCTAGAGTAGTTACACTATTTACACTATTCCTTATCTTTGTTGAGGTTTCTTGAGCTAGGCATTTTGAATCTCCAAGGAACAGAAAAATATTTTTTAAAGCAAACACTGATTTCTTTCTGGTTTAACTTGCAATAAATTCTTTATAATACAAATACAAGCTAGGCATTTTGAATCTCCAAGGAACAGAAAAACACTGATTTCTTTCTGGTTTAACGTGCAATAAATTCTTTATAATACAAATACAAGTCATATGTATTTAAAAAAATATTTCTATATATCCATTCATTCCAGCATCTGATGATACAAAAAAGAAGATGTATAGCTCCATTTTGGTAGTGGGAGGAGGCCTTATGTTTCATAAAGCTCAAGAGTTTCTTCAACACCGAATTCTCAACAAAATGCCTCCTTCTTTTAGAAGAGTCGTTGAAAATGTTGAAGTCATCACAAGACCTAAGGTATACTGTTGATTGATAGCTAAATGTTTAATAAACTGTGGTTGGTTCAAGTTTTCAAAACATGAAAAAAAATTATACTCTTTCAAAACCACAGATAAGTTGCATATCTCAGGAGATTTAGGAGAGCTTTCAGCTCATAACATAGCACTCTCCTATTATAGGCAGGAGATTAGAGGGATAGCAAGTGTTACTAGTATTGATCACCCAAGTGCTTATTATCTAAAGGCCATATTCTTAAAAAAGCATTTGGTACAGGCCCATGGAGTTAGCCTGTCTGCTCAGCAAGAAATTCCATTAGGGTTTTTGATTACTATTAAAGTAAAAAGAAGGATGGCATTAAAATACTGTCATTTGGAATTAATCAGGAAAAAATTGTAAAAATCAAAACTTGAATATTTTTCAACTTCACTAAACACAAAATATATTTTCCATATTTTTAGCTCACAATTTTTTCCTGAATAATCTTGAAAAACTTCTCCCCTCGCTCCAAGATTCTTAGTGGTAAACACTGGAAAAACTAGGATACGAGTTTTGAGAACTATGCAAATTTACATCAGTAATTGTGTGCAATGTGTTTTGAATTTAGGATATGGATCCTCGCTTAATTGCATGGAAAGGAGGTGCCGTTCTAGCCTGTCTGGATACAACCCAGGAGCTATGGATATATCAGCGAGAGTGGCAACGTTTTGGTGTCAGGATGTTACGAGAGCGAGCTGCGTTTGTATGGTAATGGATGTGTGTACAGTGGAAGGTGATTAACTGAAGATTCCTTTCCCCAAATGCCCTCTTTTTCAAGTACAGATGTATTAATCTTCTGCTGATATTTTTGTATTTTATTAAAACTAACTTTAACTTAAATTTTTCTAGTACAGCATCTTCAGCATTGTTGTATTTCATCTTTTGAGTAGTAGGCAATGAATTCTGTGCACAGAGTAGCACACATCTCCAGATTCACTACATTATATAGGTTACGTGTATTAATATTTCACAGTGTGGGAATTTGAGGTGTAAAATATTAATATGACAGATGTTAAGCAAAGACTCATTCCAGATCCATGCACACAGAAGCAATAGCTGAGGAGTGCAGGCTGTGGGTTTGATGCCTTACTCTGATTCATGCTCCAGCGTTACCAAAAGGTAAAATTGTTATATAAGCAATTGTGGAAAAAGTTAAATGGAGAACCCAAAGTACAGTTGCTGGTGGTATTTTGTTTATATAATTATATTATTCAGTGGAAACACTTGAGAATGTGAAAGTGAAGTGTTTTTTCTTGCCTGTTGTCATCAAAAGTTGTTGCCAGCTTTTCATTGTCCATGGGAATTATCCACTTGTCCCTGTTTAAACATAATACACTCAAAACAAATAGATGCATTTTTATATAGCCAGCACCAACCTCAATCCCATGCTTTTTACCACGATTTTGACACTCAGATATCCATCTACAAAAACAGTTTGCAAACATATTGTGAAAATCTGCCAAATATACATGAGTGCAACAGAAAACACTGAGCAGTTTCTGTTTAGTTTGCATTGAATAATGACTCAAGAATGAGAAATACTCACCGTTTGCATGGAGTTTTTTAGACTTTCTGTAGGCCTTGGGCAGTCATATCCACCCTTAGAAAAGCAAGGAGTTATCTAGGGGAAAAAATATAAGGTAGAATATTTCCAATGCACAGTTAAATGAAATTTCTGCACAGATTGATTTCTGTCATGTATTTCCTTCTGTACTACAGTTTGAGCTCCTGATAGGAGTGCTGTTTCCCAAATCTGTTACCAGATTTTCTTGAAACATAGTTACCTTTACATCTGATACAAATAACAAAACTACTTTCCTGCATCTAAGTGCCACCCTCTAGTAGGACTAACATTAGCAGTGCAGCATTAGTATTGCTCACAAAAATCACCCCTCTGTTATAATGTACTTCTTGAACTGCATGTGACTGCCAGTGATACTTGTTTCAGCATGCAACTATTCCTACAAATATTTAGCAAAAATGTGAAACATTAACTTCTGTTCTCAGTTGAAAGACAAATTTAAAGATGCAAACATACTCCCAAGAGCAAAAGTTTTCCATAATGCATTTAATGAAATGCAAAGACATTAAATCTTCTCTTTAAAAGAAGGTTACGTTACAAAATTAAGATAACAATACTATTACACTTTATATAAATATGTACTTTTCACCATAAAGGATTTTAAAGTGCTTGAATGATATATATACGTACTGCAGCCACTTTTTAGGTTTACTAGGCAACAAAAACAATCAAACTACTTTGTGAAAGTGATTATTATCTATTTTGTGAGAACAATGGAGAAAGCCAATATTAACTGCTGGAGAAATAAAAGGATACTACTAAGTTTACATGGTCACTGCAACGATATTTGAAGAGTTCACTAAGAACAGCAGAGGAAATATGTTCATTAATATTTAAGCCCCAAGTACAAATGAAGGATTGAAGAAGAGACATTGAGCAACTTTCTCAAAGGAAGACTTGCTGAAAATCGGAGAGCTCAAACTTTGGTAGAAGCAAACTTTAAAACTAAGTTTTACACTGTATCCCTTTTTTACCATTGTGTAGTAGGAAACCTAGGAACAACAAGAAACATAAAATGCTACACTTTGGCAGTGTACCAAGGGACAAAATTCAAATAATTACAAAGAGAAGCTTAAATTTTGTATGATCAGGTCAACAACACATCAACCACATGTATATTGCAGGTACACACATTTGTGATTCAAACCTTCCAGTACCTGAAGGGAGTATAAGAAAGCTGGGCAGGTAGCAACAGGATGAGAGGTAATGACTTTAAACTAGAAGAGGGTAGATTTAGGTTAGACATTAGGAAGAAATTTTTCACTCTGAGGGTTGTGAAACACTGAAACAGGTTGTCCGGGGAAACTGTGGGTTCCCCTTCTCTGGAAGTGTTCAAGGCCAGGTTGGATGGGACTTGGAGCAACATGGTCTACTGCAAGGTGTCCTTGCCCATGCAGGGGGGTTGGAAGTAGATGATGTGCATTGCACATTTAAACAGTAATAGATGCTCATGTTTTTGACACTGAAGAGAATCCTGTTTTATGCTAATCTATTTTCAAGAATTAGGACCACAGAATTTTACCCTGTGGACCCATCCATTATTCTTTAGCATTTTTGTTCTTTTCTGTTTTTCTGTATTGTTTTATTCCCGAGAATTGTTAACTTAATATTGCACTTTTTACTGTTGTGACTGTATTTACAGTGTCTCTAATAATTAACTTATTTTTTCTATGGCAAAAGAGAAATGACTTATACCCTTTGTGCAATAATTAATTTTTTCTTTTGTCTTTGCAATGTAATCTCAAGCACAGAAGTTACTATGCTTTTTTTCCCAGGAACGTATTTCAAACTTTAGTATAGAACATCTTGTCACGAACCTCTAAAAAACAGGTTAATAGAACTTGTGCACTACTGACTGCCCCAACAAGAAGGTAGGTCTGTGAGGAAGAAGTTCTGTAACAGGGCATTTTTTGAGCAGAACTCAATGAAAGTGAAGAAATCATAAATTAACAACTTTTCTTTTTCTGTAGGAAACACGAAAATAACTAGTGATTCTTGTTCGTGTCTCTACAAATAGCTACACATTTACTCATAGTTCCACAGGGGATAATCACTCTTTTCCATTAATGAGTAATTATTCAGAAGTTCACAGTTTGGTGCCTAAATATGAATAACCAACCACCCAGAGACTGTTAATTATTTTCTGCTTATCTAAGAGCAAAACATTAACAACCAATTATCCCAGAAAATAATTAATCATCCCATACAATCCAAGCAGAGTGATAAGGAAGGACTTGGGAAAATAATCAGCATCTACAGGCAGTATTGAAGGCATTGTAGCAGAGACAATTGTCATTACAAAACGCCTGAAGAAAGTGTAACTTCTTGCAACAACTATCTCGATTAGTCTTCATTATAGTATTGTTATTCTACCATGAGAGTTCTAAAGGGGAAAACAACACTCTTGGATTCATCCTCCAGCAGCCCAGAAGAGCAGCAGCACTGGCTCTTCACACAACTCTGATCCTTGGCCATTTCCCATGGAATTTTATGGGATATTCTCCCCAGTACCAACTTTTAATGCAGTTTATCATACAACAAACATGCACTGAAGTCAGCTATGCTGAAGACACTTAGAGGACAAAGCCAATAGAAAAGTTATATGGCAGTTAAAAGGCCCTGTAGTATTTCTAGTACTTTCAGCTGCCCACTGGGATACTCTTGAACACATATTTCAATGATGACTATTAAAACCGAGTAGTGGGCACTGGTAAGGTTAACAAGTGAGTTAACACAAACTGATGCAGTGGGACAACGTCCTGTTTGCTCACGTCCAGCCCCGTGTTCACCTGGAAACACGCAGGTAAGGATTAAGTTACACCCTGGATTATAAATTACAGGATTATAAATTACACCCTGGAATTGCAGATTCGAGCAGCCCTTAACCCCTACCAGCAGCTCAGACCGCCCGCAGACGGGTGAGGAGCAGCGGGAGCGGCGCTGCCCGCGCGGCCGCCCCTCGCGACGGGGGGGGGGGGTTTCCCGCCGCTTTACCTCGGGCGGCCTC